TCACTGTGTCTGGCTTCAGAGGTTTGGAGTCCCCTGAGTACCTGGGGTGGGTCATTGCAGAGGGTGATGTGCTCACACTGAGAACTGCACAGTTCATTTCAGTGGTTCATACGCCAGCGTGGGTAGGGTGTGTAGCCACTGTGGGCTTACCCTAGGCATTGATAATCTTGGCAGAGAGGAGGTGAGGCTGTGATCACACCAGCTGACATGACCATACCTTTTCTCCTCCCTGCAAACAATAAAGCAGACCTACCATTCTCAACCTGGACTCTTGCACCACCCCTGAGCACTGATCAGAGCTCTCTGGCCCCACCCAGCACATGACTTTACATATCCACGAAGCACAGAGGCACATTTCAAAGATAAAAACCATCAGAAGAGACATCCAAGTGTTTCCACAAATGCCTAAAAAAGAATGTAGAAATACAAGAAACATAAACAAGGAAGACAACACAAATCCTCAAAAGGAACACAAGAACACTTCAACATCAGAGTAAGAATATGAAGAGACTGATGAAATGCCTGAAAAGGAATTCAAAAGAATGATCTAAATTAGTCACAAACAACAAGAAACAAATTCATTGATTAAATCCACATATGACATGGGTGCAAAATTTGGCTGGGAGACAGAGATATTGAAGAGAAATCAAACTGAAATATTAGCAATGAAGAATTCGATGTTAAACAACAATAAAAAAACACAGTGCAAAGTCAACAGATTTGGTGAGGCAGAAGAAAGAATATCAAAGCTAGAAGGCAAATCTTTGGAAAAATGTCAGACAAAAGGAAGAAGAAATTAGGAAAACTGAAAATAGTTTTTGAGATTTATAGGTTATTACCAAATGACCTAATATACATGACCTAATATACACGCCTGAAGGCATGGAAAAAGAAAATGGATTAGAAGTCCTATTCAGCGAAATGATAGCAGAAAACTTTCCTAATTTGGAGAAAGAAAGAGACATCCAAATATAGGAAGCACACAGAACCAGACATGGATGCCCTCTTGCACCACTGGTAATCAGTGTAGTTCTGAAAGTTTTACTAAAGCCATTAGGCAAGAAAAAGAAATCAAAGGACTATAAACTGGAAAAGAGGAAGTCAAATTATCCCTGTTTGAAGATGACATAATTCCATTTATAGGGAAAACGAAAAACTCCACTAAGAAACAATTTGAATTCATAAGAGAGTGTGGTAAAGTTGCAGGATATAAAATCAAAACACAAAGATCAATAGCCTTTGTATATACAGAGATGCTATGACTGAAAGAACTTGTAGGAACATTACCATCAACAATAGCTTTTAAAAATGTAAATACCTTGGAATTAATTAAACCAAGGATGTGAAAGATTGCTACAAAGAAAATTACAAAACATCAAAGAAAGAAATAGAAGAAGAAACAAAAAATGGAGAAATCTTCCATGTTCATGGATTGGAAGAATTAATATCATCAAAATGCCCACACCACCCAAAGCAATTTACAGATTCAATGCAATCCTAATCAAAATACCAATGACATTCTTCTCATATCTAGAAAACTCAATGCTAAAATTCATTTGGAAACACGAAACCCCAAATAGCTAAAGAAATCTTCAACAACAAAATCAAAGCCAGAGGCATCACAATACCCCAGTCTCAAGACATACTACAGGGAAGTTATAATCAAAACATCCTGGTACTGGCACAAAAATAAACATGTATACCAATCAAACAAAATAGAAACCCCATAAATTAATCCACACAACCAACTACAACCAACTAATCTTTGACAAATGAGTTAAAATAAAGCCCTGGAGAAAGGAAAGTCTCTTCAACAAATCATGCTGGGAAAATTGGATCCATGCACGCCGAAGTATGAAACAAGACCACTGCTTTAAACCTTATTAAAAAACTACTCTAAATGGATCAAAGAGCTAAATCTATGACCTAATACTATCAAATAACTACAGAAAAAACATTGAGGAAATACTGCAAGACACTGGTATAAGCAGAGACTTCCTGGAGAAGACCCACAGAAGTACTGGCAATCAAAGCAAAAACAGACCAATTGTATTACATCAAGTTAAGAACCTTCTATACTGCAAAAGAAACACTCAACAAAGTGGAGAGGCAACCAACAGAATGGGAGAAAATATTTGCAAAATAAGCATCCAATAAAGGATTAACTTCCAGGATCTATAAAGAACTCAAGAAACTCAACAACAACAAAAACAAACAATCTAGGTAAGAAATGGGCAAAGGATTCCAACAGGTAGTTTTCAAAGGGTGAAATTCAAATGGCCAACAGACACATGAAAAAATGCTCAGGATCACTAGCCATCAGGGAAATGCAAATAAAAATAACAATGAGGTTTTATCTCTCCAGCAAGAATGGTTATCATTCAAAAATCACAAAAACAATAAATTCTGGCAAAGATGTAGAGGAAAAGGTACCCAAACACACTGTTGGTAGGAATGTACACTGGTACAACCATTATGGAAGACAGTAGGGAGATTCCTCAGAAATCCAAAATATATATACCATATAACCCAGGCAACCCACTCCTGGGAATTTACCTAAGGGAAATGAAATCAGCATATGAAAGAGTTATCTGTAGACCCATGATTATTGCAGCTCAGTTCTCAATAGCAAAGATATGGAATCAACCCACAGGTCCATCAACTGATGACTGGTTATGGCAAATGTGGTACATATATGCTATGGAATACTACTCAGCCATTAAAAAAGAATAAAATCCTGTATTTTGCAATAAAACCATTATGCTTAGTGAAATATGTCAGTACCAAAAAGACAAATATCATGTTTTCCCTGATTTGTGGTAACTTACAGAGTACCAAAATATGTAATGTATATGAACAAAATTAAACTTTTGAGATTAGATTATTGTTTACAACCCTAATCTCTACTCCTGAGGGACAGCAGTTTTTCTGTTTGTGTGTTAATTAAAGAGTTCAACCAATGTTATTAAGTAGAACAAGAAAATACTAAAAAGAATAAAATAGTAAGCTGTTCCTCGACAGTCAGGACAAGGTCTGATCAAGTCATTGTTTCTAATAGTGTCAGTTTCACTTCTACATGTTTCCTTTTAGGTACTCAGTTGTCACAGATCAGGGAGAATATATGATAATTGTCCCTTTGGGACTGGCTTATTTCACCCGGCATGATGTTTTCCATATACTCCATCTTGTTGCTACTGACTGAATTTCATTTTTTTAACCGCTGTGTAGTATTCTATAGAGTACATATCCCATAATTTCTTTATCCAGTCTACTGTTGATGGGCATTTAGGTTGGTTCCAGGACTTAGCTATTGTGAATTGAGCTGCAATAAACATTGAGGTGAAGATAGTTCTTTTATTTGCCAATTTAATTTCCCTTGGGTAAATTCCAAGGAGTGGGATGGCTAGGTCATGTGGTAGGGCTATCATCAGGCTTCTGAGGAATCCCCAAACTGTCTTCCATAGTGGCTCTACCAGTTTGCATTCCCACCACAGTGGATTAGTGGCCTTTTCCCACACATCCTCGCCAGCATCTGTTGTTAATTGATTTCTGTATGTAAACCATTCTAACCAGGGTGATGTGAAATTCACTGTGATTTTGATTTGCATTTCTCTGATGGCCAGTGATCCTGAACATCTTTTCATGTGCCTGTTGGCCATTTGGATTTCCTTTTTTGAAATAATGTCTATTGAGGTCCGAGGCCCATCTCTTAAGTGGTTTTGTTTTGTTTTGTTTTTGAGGAGTTTCTAGATCCCTTTGTAAATTCTGGTTATTAATCCTTTATCAGTTGCATAATTTTCAAATATTTTCTCCCATTCTGTTGGCTGCCTCTTCACTTTCCTGCTTCTTCTGAAGTACAGAACCTTCTCAATTTGATGCAATCCCTATTGTTAATTTTGGCTTTGACTGTGTGTGCCTCCGGGGTCTTTTCCAAGAAGTTGTTGCCTGTGCCTATACCTTACAGGTTTTCTCCAATGTTCTCTAATAATTTGATGGTGTCAGGTAATAGATTTAGATCTTTAATCCATGTTGAGTGGATTTTTGTGTAAGGTGTAAGGTAGGGGGTCTTGCTTCATACTTCTACATGTTGGAAATCCAGTTTTCCCAGCACCATTTGTTGAAGAGACTGTCCTTGCTCCAGGAATTGGTTTTGGATCCTTGATCAAATGTAAGTTAGCTGTAGATGTTTGGATGGATTTCTGGTGTTTCTATTCCATCCCACTGGTCTATCCATCTGTTTCTGTACCAGTACCTTACTGTTTTGATTATAAGCATCTTGTAGTACATCTTGAAATCTGGTATTGTGATGCCCCCGATCTGTTTTTGTATTACAAGATTGCTTTAGCTATTCGATGTCTCCTGTGCCTCCATACGAATTTCAGCATCATTTTTTTCCAGATCTGAGAAGACTGTCTTTGGTATTTTGATTGGTATCACATTGAATCTATAAATTGCTTTTGGTTTTATGGACATTTTGATGATATTGATTCTTCCAAACCATGAGCATGAAAGATTTTCCCATTTTTTGGTATCCTCTTCTGTTTCTTTAAGTTTTGTAATGCTCATCATAGAGACCTTTGACATTCTTGGTTAAGTTTATTACAAGGTATTTGATTGTTTTTGTAGCTATTGTGAATGGGATTGATACAGTTCTTTCTCAGCCATTGCATTGTCTATATATACAAAAGCTGTTGATTTCTGCACATTGATTTTATATCCTGCTACTTTGAAGTGTCATGTTCTTTTGGGAGTGTCATGTTGTCTCCTTTATTCTTGTTTCTTGGATTTTTGCATTTGTTGTTCAGCATTGTGGAGATACTCATTGGTTTCTTCTTTTTTTTTTTTTTTTTTTCCACTCTGGCAGCTTTTTAAATTTTACTATGGCTCTGTAGATAAGTGGACTGTCTTCTTCCAGTGAATCCCTAGAGGCTTTTGGTGGGTGTGGCCAGAGAGCTCTGTTCAGTTTTTCAGGGTTAAGGGTGTGCCTAAAGTGACACACCCAGGTTTGGCGTGTAAAATCTTTTTTTTTTTTTTTTAATCAGAAGAGAAGTAAATCCACTCAGCTGAGCTGTTCTCCTAGATGGTGATCAGTGACTGAGCACTGGCCCCAGTGGGTACAATATTCATCTGTTCTGTCCCAAGGACCACACAAAGGATATGTTCAGTCCTCAGTGTAAGTTCAGATTCCCCTGCAATGTCTCTCACTGGATAGCAAGGGTCACCTGAGCTTGTGGCATCTCCCACCAAGACTACTCAAAGCCTCAGCCACACCATGAGTTCTCCCACACATCCTGTTTTTTTCCTTTTGTTTTTTTCCACAGTCCCAGTTCAGAAGCTCCACACAGTCACTAGGTCTTAGTCTCCTGTTAATACTCCCCACCAGAGTCAGGTTTCTCTGGTTGGCTGATTGCCAGGTGCAGACACGAGCTGGTGCAGCTGTTACGTATGTCCAAAATGGCGCCTGCTCTATTGGCTTGTACACTTTTGTAAGGTGACTGGAGAAAGAGAATCGTGTCTGTACTGCCCCTTTTATTTTTTCTCCCCTCTAGTTAAGCTTGTGTACTTACCCCCATGGGGCTTCAAGTCTCGTTCCCTCTAGACTCTTCCTACTGCTTTTTCACCAGTTTCTCGGTCTGGTCTCACCTCATTTTCCAGCGCTGATATGGAGGCTCTCAGCTGCTGGAGTCCCGAGCTGTGGGCGCCCATGCCCTTCACATAGGTCCATCATGTCCCTCTAATTATGGAGAGTTTCCTCTGCCATTTTTCCCCTAACTCTTCCCTGAGACTACACTATCTCCATTTTTATTAAACCATCTTCTCCTGGACTAGATCAGTAAGCTCCCTCCATATTGCGCCATCTTGGAACCGACCATACCTATGCCTTTTTTGCTGTACATGGTTTTACTACCATCACTTGTAATTCTACTTCAGGTTTTAAAGAATTAATTGTTTTCCCAACTTCTCTGAAAATATTCTCACCTATAGTTATTCCACAGACTATGCGTAAGGTCTAATTCCTTATTAACTCAAAATTTGGCATCAACTCTTTGAACATACAATTGAACAGTATCAATATCTGTAGACTCTTCTAATTAAAGAATACAACTTGAAATTATCTTCATTGTTTTTTCTTGGGTATTGATATTACTCAAGCTTTCAAGCAACCATTTTCATTGAAAGGCTAATACTCTTAAATAACTTTATTTTCTCTAGATACATTTCTTTGTCCACTGCAATCATATCCAGTTTTGCTAGCCTATCACTGGTAAGTGGCTTTCCTCATTTAGAGAACAAATGCACCAACTGGAAACATACTTCTGTTGCAGAAGTTGTTGAAGAAATTCTGCTGCAATACTCTAAATTTTCCTTCTTTTCCTGGTCATTGCTTAAGTGACAGTGAGGAATACTGTGGTGAATGCTTAATCTGTAGATAAGGTGTCAAATTTTGGTGGGCTGCTTAAGGTTTTCAAATCTGTACTAGAGAAGGACTGTAACATCAAGTAACCTTCAGTACTAGGCTTAAAAATCATCTCCACTGATTAAAGATAATTTTATATCAGTAAGCACATACCTGAAAGCTAGAAAACTTGCCTATTACTTTTAGCCAGTCCTATTTCCTTTCTTAAGTCAATCAATTATTCAACTCTTCATTGAATGCCTAGTTACCAATCTTCAGGATGTATATAGAGAATATCTATATAGATTTATCATTGCTCTGCCTGGTTCCTAACTATAGCAATTCCTTTGTGTAGCATATACACTGAGCACTGGGTAGTTGTGTTTTTTTTTTTTTAAACAATGTTTGATTGGTTCTTAACTGCAAAAATTAAAAAAGGGTTTTGAAGTAGTACCTGTAACTCATGTTCACAGTAGCAATTTTTCACATTGGAAGTAACAATTTTCCATCAGAAAACTAACAGAAAAGCAAATGTACAAATATTTAATAGAATGCTTTATTTCCTTCCTTTTAAAAGGAAATTGTGACATATGGTCTAACACAGATAAAAGTTGAAGGATATGCTAAATGAAATAAGCCAGTCACAACAGGACAAGTACTCCAAGGCTCCACGTAAGTAAGATATATAGAACAGTGAAAAGAATAGAGGCAATAAGTAGGATGGTGTTTATTAAGCGTTGGAGAAAGGAAGTAATATGGATTTGCTGTTTTATGGGTACAGAATTTCAAATGATTATCTCAATAGACACAGAGAAAACATTTGATAAAATGTAACCATCTTTTCATGATAAAAACCTTAAGCAAACTGGGTATAGAAGGGACATTCCCAAACACAATCAGGGCAATATATGACAAACCCATTGCCAGAATCATATTAAAGGGGGAAAAGCAGGAAGCATTTTCACTAAGATCTGGAACCAGACAAGGATAACCACTCACCATATTATTGAATATGGTTCTGGAAGTTTTACCAAAGCAAGTAGGAAATAAAAAGAAATCAAAAGACTACAAATGGGAAGGGAGAAAGTCAAACTATTCCTGTTTGCAGATGACATGATGCCATACATAAGAGAACAAAGACGCCACTAAGAGACTATTAAAGTCATAAGAGAGTTTGGCAAAGTTGTAGGATATAAAATCAACACACAAAAATCATAGCCTATGTTTACAATCCCATTCACAATTGCTACAAAAACATTTAAACATTATGGAATCAATTTGAATAAGGAAGTAAAAGAATTCTACAATGAAAATTACAAAAAATTAAGGAAAGGAATATAAAACACACACATACACACATACAAATGGAAAAATCTTCCAAATCCATGGATTGGAAGAATTAATATCACCAAAATGTCCATACTACCCAAAGCAATTTACACATTAAATGTGATCCCACTCAAAATGCCAAGGACAATCTTCCCAGATCTCAAAAAATGGATACTAAAATTCATATGGGAACATAGGAGACCTCAAATAGCTAAAGCAATCTTAAACTATAAAAACAAAGTTGGAGGCATCATAATAATAGCACAAAAATAGATATGTGGATCGATGGGCGAGAATAGAAACTCCAGAAATTAATCTACACATCTACAACCAAACAATCTCTGACAAATGAACTAAAATCACTCCTTAGGGAAGCAACTATTTTTTCAAAAAATGGTGTTGGGAAAATTGGAGCTAAACATGCAGAAGTACAGATCAGGATCCCTACCTTACACATCTTATAAAAACTCAACTCTCAATGGATCAAGGGTCTAACCCCTAAAAATTTAAGCAATCAAATTACTGGAGGAAAACATAGGAGAAGTACTGTAAGACATTGGCACTGGCAAAGATTTATTGGATAAGATCCCAGAAGCCCAATCAACAAAAGCAAAAAAAGATAAATGGGATAATCAAGGTGGCATGTACCAATGCCATCTCACTAGTCAAAGTGATCAGACTATGAGTCTTTTTTAAAAAAGATTTATTTGAAAGTTAGAGTGAGGGAGGGAGACAAAGTCCTTCCATATTCTGGTTCACTCCCCAGATGGATGCAACGGCCAAAACAGAGCCAGGCTGAAGCCAGGTACCAGAAGCCTCTTCTGGGTCTCCCACATGGATGCAGGAGCCTAAGCACCTGAGCCATCTTCTGCTGCTTTCAGACACATCATCAGTAGGGTGCAAGACTGGAGGTAATGCAGCAGGGTCTTGAACAGGATCCTATATGGGATGCTGGTGTTGCAGGTGGCAACTTTACCAGCTACAGCCACGGCACTGCTGTGTTTGTAACTGCTTCTATTAAGTTGAGGGAGTTCACTTCCATTCTTAGCTTTCTGAATTTTTATCATGAAAATGTGTTGAATTTTTCCGAATGCTTTTAGGCGTCAGTTGAGATGATTATATTTTTTTCTTTCATTGTATTAGTGTAGTACATTACATTGCTTCTTCTTAGGCTCACACATCCTTGCATTCCTGCAATGAATCTCTTTTGGTCATGGTGTATAATCTTTTAATATGCTTTGCATTTGGCTTGCTTGTATTTTGATGATGATTTTTACATATTTGGTTAATGCTGGCCTCGTAAGATGAGCTATGAAGTATTCCTACCTCTTATATTTTTGGAAGAATTTAAGAAGGATTGGTGCTAATATTTCTTTATGCTTGGTATAATTCACTAGTAAAGCCATTTGATCCTAGACTCTTTGTTGGGATATTTTAATGTATTAATCTCTTAATTGTAATAGCTCTGTGTCAATCTTCTATTTCTTTTTGAGTCAGTTTTGGTAACTTATGTTTCAAGAAACTTGTCCATGTCATCTAGCTTACCCAGTTTTTTAGGTATAGTACAGAGTATTCCTATAATCCTTTTGATTTCATAAAGGTCAGAAGCACTGTCTTCACTTTCAATTTTGATTTAGTTACTTGTATCTTCTTGTAATACTTACTTGGTAAGTTATATTTCTTCTTGTCAGCCAGAGAAACTTTTCTGTGATCTGTAGTTAAGACTCCTTAGTAGCCTAGGAGGCAACCTTGTCTTGCCCCTGGTTTGGTGGAATTTTAAAAGTGAATTCTAGGGGCTGGCACTGTGGTATATATAGGTCAAGGTGCCACCTGAATTGCCAGCATCCCTCATGGGTGTGGCTTTGTGACCTGGCTGCTCCACTTCTGATCCAGCTCTCTGCTATGGCCAGGGAAAGCAGAAAAAGTTGGCTCAAGTCCTTGGGCCTCTGTACCCATATGGGAGACTCAGAAGAAGCTCCTGATTCCTGGCTCCCATCTCCTGGCTTTGGATTGGCACAGCTCCAGCCATTATGGCCGACTGGAGAGTGAAGCAGTAGATGGAAGAACTCTCTCTCTACCTCTCCTTCTCTATGCAATTCTGACTTTCAAATAAATAAATAAATATTTTTTAAAAAGTGAATTCTATCTGGAATTTTACTGAGAAATTCTATTTTAAAGAATACTTTGGCTTAGTATTGATAGCACTTACTTGTCAAATTTGGTTGTTTCCTTACTGTTGGTATTTTTAATTACAAAATTACTGCAAGGGTTCCAGTTCTGTGTAAGGCAGAGTTAAGTGCTCTACTCTCATTCTCCCATCAAGTGCAGCTATAAAATCTGGACAGAACGCATATAAATACTCTTGAATACTCCGAAAAGTAAATAGTAGTAGGCAGATAGGATAATAACAGAAATCACAGTATCACCTAAGTAGGGGTGAGCAGATCATATTCACCCCTCTTTAGTATATTCCAGTCTGGATCTAAGACATCCTGAAATGTGGAAATAGGCATTGGTGTGGCCAGAGAGCGCATTCAGAAAAGCATTCCAGCCTAGGCTCAGAAAGCAACCTAGAGGTCTCATGATAATTACAGGAGCCTACAAGAATCAAAATCTCTGGGGGAAGGGAGAGATTTTTCCAGTTAAAAAAAGGCCATAGTCTCCAGAAGGTATAGTGAACACCACTGATGTCTGAACTCTCACTAACCTCCCTTTACTTAGCCCTGGATGTAGGTGCAGCATGGGGAGTTTTTTGGTACACTGCGTTAAATAAAATCTCAGCATTACAGTTGGAAGTTCAAAGGAGAGCGTCAGAGGATTGGAAAGTAGTGGGAAGGGCATTACCAAATAAATATGTTTATGAATTCCTAAAATGATTTCAGAGAAATGCATGTGAGGTTCCAATAAACATACCAAACATAGACAGACAGAATGCACTAAGAGGCAGACCAGTCCCCAGGTCTTAGGCTGGCCACTGAGCAGCATGTATGTGATAGATTTTAATAAATATGAACAGGCTTTGAAAATAGGACATTGAAACCACAACCCAAGGCTGGTTGAAACGTACAAACAAAACAAAAACGTTAACTGCCTGCTTAAATAAAAGTATCAACATCTTCCCACAGAATTTAAAGAAAGCCAGAGTCCTATAATATTCAAAATGTTCATGATATAATTCAAACTTATTATATAAAGAACCAGATGAACCTGAACTCACATAAATAAAGGGAATCAACATGTCAATGATTAGATGCAGATGCTTTTATTATGTGATCAACATACTAAAGAAGGCATTATAAAAGTGCTCTAGGAAGTAATGACACTCAAAATGGATAAAAGAAAAAATCTCAGGGAAGAAATGGAAAATATAAGGAATCAAACTAAAATTTCAGAACTAAAAATATACTGAAATTAACAATTAAAAAAACCTCACTGATGGTCATAATAATACTAAGGCGATGACAAAAAAGAGTCAGTGAATTAAAAGATAGACCATTAGGAATTATCTGATTGGAAAACAGACAAAAATATTTCCTAAAAAAGTATAGAACCTAAGAAACCTGTAGGACAATAACAAAAGACAAATGTTTATGTTATCACAGTCTCAGACAGAGGAGAAAAAAATGATACCTTGTTATACCCACTTGAACGACTAGTATCAAAAAAGCTCCAAATTACATGTTGGCAAGGACAGGGGCATGAAATTAGATCCCTTGTACATCGCTGATGAAAATGTAAAACACTAAGCCACTTTTATAATAAGTGGAACAGCGTGGCAGTTCCTCAAAATGTTCAATATAGAATTATCATGACACAGCAATTCATTCTTAGTGTATATCCAAAAGACCAAAAAAAAAAAAAAGGGATTCAAAGAGACATTTTTATGCAATTGCTTATGAAATTATTATTCACTATGGCTAAAAGATGTAAACAACCCAAGTTTCAAACAACAGATGAATGGACAAACAAAATGTGGTATATACTTACAATCATATGGAAAACATACGATAAATGAAATAATTCAGAAACATTAAGACAAATACCCTATGATTCCATTTACATGAGGTAACTAGAATATACAGATTCATAGAGAAAATAGAAGTTACCAGGAACTAACGGAAGGGAGAACGGAGACTCATTACTCAATGCATAAAAAATTTCTTTTTTTATTTGGATGATGAAAATGTTCCTGGAGTAAACAGTGGTGATTGTTGCAAATTGTAAATGTACTAAATTAGATATCTAAAATGTCAATGTGACAGATTTTATGTTACGTATCGTTTACCACAATAAAATGGAAGGGGAAATAATGGATTAAAAAAAAGAAAAACTTCCCAAATATAGCAAAGAACTTTAACCTACAAATTCAAGAAGTCCAGTCCATCCCAAACATCAGAATCCCAAAGAAATCCATACCAAAGAGCCTAGGGTGATTACTGATGCCATAAACAAGAGTGTCAATTTGTTAAGTCAACAACAGGAGTCACTGTGCACTTACTCCTCATGTAGGATCTTTGTCCTTAGTGTACTGTACATTGAGATTTAATGCTATAACTGGTACTCAAACAGTATTTTTCACTTCATGTTTCTGTGTGGGAGCAAACTGTTGAAATCTGTACTTAATGTATGCTAAACTGATCTTCTGTATATAAAGAGAAACGAAAATGAATCTTGATGTGAATGGAAGGGGAAAGGGAGTGGGAAAGGGGAGGGTTGCGGGTTGGAGGGACGTTATGGGGGGGGGGAAGCCATTGTAATCCATATTCTGTACTTTGGAAATTTATATTCATTAAATAAAAGTTAAAAAAAAAAAGAAATCCATACCAAAACACACCACAGTCAACCTTCTGAAAACTGAAGACAAAGGGAAAGATTTGAAAGTAGCCCTAGAAAATCAATATCTTATTATAAAGAAACAATGATTCAAGTGACTGTTAAATCCTTCACCTCATGAAGATCCAAATGGCATATTTTCTAAATATGGCATATTTTCTAAAGCACAAAGAACACAAAGAGGTCTGTCTTCCTACAATTCCATATTGAGTTAAAATATTATTCAGGAACAAAGCTAAAATAAAAACAGTCTCAGATAAAGGAAAACTTAATTTGTTGTCATGTAACATGCTCTAAAAGAATTACTAAAATAAGGTCTTCAGACCTTTGGGAAAATGATACTTGAAGCAAAACTTGACACATCATGCATAAAATATGAGCAGTAGAAATGGTTGACATCTGAGTAAATACAATAGGCTATTCTCCTCTTGAATTCTTTAAAATATATTTGATGGCTTAAGGCAAAAGTCACAACATCTAATAGTATTTTTAATGACTAGAGATGTAATATTACAACATAAAGCATACAGGACAAAAGAACATGAGGGTTTAAGGCTTCTACATCTCACTGGATGTGACAAAATATTTAATCTAAGTAAAATCATAATTTAAAGAGTTATATTATGGAACTACTCCTGAAAAGTCTGCTAGTTTCTTGTAAGTGAAATATATACCTACCATGGAACCTAGCAATCCTACTCCTATTTATTCATTCCAGAAAAATGAAAACTTGGTCAGACAGAAGTATGTACATGAATGTTTATACAAAATCTATTCACAATCCCCAAACAGGAAACAATTCATGTGTCAACTAATGGGTAAACAAGTAAAAAATAAAACTTGTTTTACCCATAGAATGGATAACTATTCAGCAATAAAAATAAATGAACCATTGATACATGCTACAGCTTGTGTGAATCTCAAACCTTACACTGAGTAAATGTCTCAAAAGGTGACATAATGTATCATTTCATTTATATGATATTCTCAAAAGGATAAAACTCTACTGAAAGACCATATTATTGGTTGTAATACAGCAAAACTGAAGAACTGAAAGAAAAAATGCCTGAGTCAAAATGAAAGACTTTTAATTCATAATATCCATAAAGTGATAAAAAAAAAGCAGATAAAGAAAATGAGTTCAAATGTAAGATCTGAGTAACAGAATTAAGAAAATTGACCTAAAACATACATCATACCAAACAACTGCAGTTTGTATCTTGATTTTAAGGACATGAAATGTTTACCAAAATTGATCATGCTCTCAGCCATAAAGACAATCTCAACATATTTCAGTCTGAAATTATGCATAGTGCATTCTCTGAAATGCCACTACATAAAGACATTGCTACACACCCAGGAGAATGAATGAAAAAGACTTAACCTTACCAAGTGTTGGTGACAATACCCACATAATGCCACTGACAATATAAAACAATATTGCTCCTTTGGAAAAAGATTTTCTAATTTTCTGAAGAATTAAAAATATACTTACCATGTAAGCCAGTTTTATTAGTCAGCTTTTCATTATTATACCTACAATAGCTGAGAAAAACTACTTAGGAAGAAAAAAGGTTTATGTTGGCTCATGTTTTGGAGGTTCACAATCCAAGATCAGGCAGCCCCATTAGCCTGGCACCTGATGAAGATGGTGGTTTGCTGAACTTGAGTGGAAGGAGGATTACATGGTGAATCAGGAAGCAGAGAGAGAAAAGCTGGGCCGAGCTTAGCATATACAATCCACCCTCTCTCAATAACTACTTCTGTGGGCGAGCCCCTAATAATCTACAGACCTTCCACTGGGTCTACCTTCCAGACACCATACAGATCAAGTCTTTAACCTTAATCCATTAACCATTAACAGATGATTTTGGGGACTAAGCCCCAAACACACGGGTCTCTGGGGGACACCCAGCCTATTATTCAAACCCTAACACCAGTCATCCCCCATTCCTAGGTATTTACCAATGGTACATGAAAGCGTATGTCCACAAAAAGTCTTTATATGCAATGTTCCAACAGCTCATAATAGTGAAAGAGAGAGAGGGAGAGACAGAGAGAGAGAGTGAGCGAGCGCGAGCACCAGCCTGTATTCATTTGCTGTGCCATAAAAAATTTCTATAAATTTAGTGGCTTAAAGTAGGTATTCCAGGGCTGGCAATGCAGCATAGTAGGTTAAGCCTCCACCTGTGGGGCTGGCATCCAATATGGGTGCCAGTTCAAGTCTCAGCTGCTCCACTTCCAATCCTGCTCCCTGGTAATGTGCCTGGGAAAGCAGTGGAAGATGGCTCAAGTGCTTGGGCCCCTACACCCACGTGGGAGACCCAGAAGCAGCTCCTGGCTCCTGGTTTCCAACCAGCCCAGCTCTTGCTGTTGAGGCCATTTGGGGAGTGAACTAGCAGATACAAGACTTCTCTGTCTCTCCCTCTGTCTGTAACTCATTCTGTCAAATAAATAAACAAATCTTTAAAAAACAGGTATTCAATTTAAATTTATTTTTGAATAGATAATTCACTAAGTTCAAAATACAGAAAGTATTTAAGGTAAAGAGTGAAAGGCATTCATTACCCACCTACACAAAAGTCCTTGTTTACAATGTCTTGAGCCCTTCAGGAGCTGTTTTGAGCATAAAAAGGCAAATCTGTGTTTGTGCATACATGTGTGCACTTGTACATTTGTATGTTTATATGAGTCTCAAGGATAGCAGGACGAGAGGCAATGGGGGAAATCTCCTTACAAATGTATCTGCAGATGAAAGTTCTCCACCATGTGATGAAAATTAGTATTAGTAAAGAGAGCCAAGAATAGAATTCATTCAAAGTAACCAAAAATATTTAAACCTCTTCTTAAGTATATAATCTGAGAGAAGCAAAACTCTAAAGTTGGGAACCCAGAGATGACTTCCTGTCTTTAGTGTAATTACTGAGCTAGATGAAGTTGTGCACTGGTTTTCAAAGCTTTGTTCCAGAAGATGGAAAACAACATTCATGTCTAATAAATTCATGTCTTATACAAAGTTTAAAGCAACAGGGTCTATTCCTTAGTAAATGGATGAATTAGGAATACTGATATTTGGGGGATGGCATCGTGGCAAAGTAGGTTAAGCCACTTCCTGCAGTGCTAGCATCCCATGTGGGTGCTGGTTTAAGTCCTGGCTGCTCTACTTCCCATCTAGCTCCCTGCTAATGAGCCTAGGAAGCAAAGGAAGATCCATGTTCTTGGGCTTCTCCTGTCCATGTGGGAGACCCAAAGAGTTCCTGGCTCCTGGCTTTGTCCAGGGCAGGGACATTTGGGGAGTGAACTAGTGATGGAAGACCAGTATCTCTGTCTCCCTCTCTTTCTCTGTAACTTCGCCTTTCAAATGAAACAAGCAAATAAATAAATAAATCTTAAAAAAAAATACCAACATAGACTGTAATATCACTAAGACTGAAAGAAAAAATATCCATCTCAGATTTGCAAAAGTTTTTTTCCTGAAAATTTGTATTCACAGCTTGGCCTTCAAGCAGGTATGCAGCCTGAATTTACCTTATTTTTGTAGTTGACAAAACCTCACATAATGAATTTTAAAGGCATAATGGAATAGTAGTGTTTCCAGAAGACTGATATAATCCCACTCCCTTTGGAAAAAATTTACTTCATTCCAGACCTCTAAGAATTACTGTATGAGGAACACTAATATCACAATAAAAATCAATAAACATTAAAGAAACAAAATCCCACAGGTTAGAACAAGCAGAAACAACTGATAGCTGAATCAGACCTGAAAAGACTTCAGTAGTGGAATATTCAGGCACACATAAAAATTATTTAATTTACTTCAATAAATAAAATGGAAAAAGCAAGCAAATTACAGAGTTGAAGAAAGAATTAGAGGATGTTCACTATGAAAAATGTAGTAATTGAAATTTCAAAAGTTCAATGAATGTAGTTAACTGATTAAATATGGAGAAAGATAATATACTGAAAGATCTAAGTTATGCAAAATGTAGCACAAACTGAATATGAGAAAAAATTAAGAGTCATAGAGGATGGAGTTTTTTTTTTTTTTTTTTTTTTTGACAGGCAGAGTGGACAGTGAGAGAGAGAGAGACAGAGAGAAAGGTCTTCCTTTGCCGTTGGTTCACTCTCCAATGGCCGCCACGGCCGGCGCGCTGCGGCCGGCGCACCGCGCTGATCCGATGGCAGGAGCCAGGAGGAGCCAGGTGCTTTTCCTGGTCTCCCATGGGGTACAGGGCCCAAGCACTTGGGCCATCCTCCACTGCACTCCCTGGCCACAGCAGAGAGCTGGCCTGGAAGAGGGGCAACCGGGACAGAATCCGGTGCCCCAACCGGGACTAGAACCCGGTGTGCCAGCACCGCTAGGCGGAGGATTAGCCTAGTGAGCTGCGGCGCCGGCCAAGGATGGAGTTTTAAAAAGAGATGGTAGTGGGGGCTGGAGTTGTGGTGCAACATGGTAAGCTACCACCTACAGTGCTGTCAACCTATAAGTACTGGTTCAAGTCCTGGTTGCTCCACTTCCATTCCAGTTCCCTTGTAAAGTTCCTGGGAACACAGTTGGAAGATGACCCAAATACCTAGGCCACTACTACTCATGTGGGAGACAGGTATGGAGTTTCTGACTCCTGGCTTTGGCCTGGCCCAGCTCTAGCCATGGTGGCTATTTGTGGTGTCAACCAGTGGATAGAACATCTTTCTTTCTCTGTCTTGCCCTCTCTCTCTGCAACTCTGCCTTTCAAATAAATAAATCTTTAAAAAAGAAACAGAGAGGCTGAGAATGTTCTAGAAAGGTATTACTTCATAAATAGTGTAATAAATCAAGCAGGATGATAAACAGAAAGCAATACCTAAACATATCATTATGAATCCAAAGTGCATAGACTACCATTTCTTGAGATGCCAACTGAGAGAAGAGTACAATTAGATGGACTTCTTAACAATAAACATAGAATTCAGAAGAAAATAAATGGTATTTCAGCATGCTGAAAGAAAATTATTCAGGGCTGGCACCGCGGCTCAATAGGCTAATCCTCCGCCTGCGGGACCAGCACACCGGGTTCTAGTCCTGGTTGCCCCTCTTCCAGGCCAGCTCTCTGCTGTGGCCAGGCAGTGCAGTGGAGGATGGCCCAAGTGCTTGGGCCCTGCACCCCATGGGAGACCAGGAGAAGCACCTGGCTCCTGCCATCGGATCAGCGCGGTGCACCAGCTGCAGCGGCCATTGGAAGGTGAACCAATGGAAAAAGAAGACCTTTCTCTCTGTCTCTCTCTCTCTCACTGTCCACTCTGCCTGTCAAAAAAAAAAAAAAAAAAAGGAAGAAAGAAAATTATTCAATCTGTAATTCTATACTCAGAAAATTTCTTTCTCTAACAAGGACTAAGAGGAAGATATTTTCAAAGCAAAAGCTGAAAATCTGCAATCTGAAAACTTCCTCTGAAGAGTATTTATTAGGAAGGATATACTTCAGTCAGTAGGAGAATAAGCCCAGATAGAAGGAATGACATACAAGAAGGAATGAAGATCACGAAAATGGTAAAAATATAGTAAATCTCAACCATGATTTCTTAATTTCCCTGGTGGGCCATTCTTAAAGGACTGGCTGTCAAGGATTTGGCGACACACTTCATCAAGTGGCTACACTAAACAAAGGATTAAGGCACATGACAATTGTAGGGGCTCAATAAACATTTACTGAAGGAACGGATAGATATAAAGATAAAGATAGAGATAAATATATAATTAGCTCTTCACTGGCTCCTGAAGAGGCTAAAAACTGGCTGTTTGCCAGTCACATCTGATTTGCAAATAGTTTGTTTTGTCAACACTACGTTGATCAAAACAAAAGAGGAAAAAAAAATGGCAGATTTTACAACAAATACTGGTGCCACAGTGAACTGGAACTTAGAGCTGCCATCTTGGAAGGGCCATGTACTCCTCTACAAGCATTTGGAATTGGGAGTTTTTACAGCTCTTTGATTGGGAAGAGGTTAAAAATAATTTTTTTTTAGATTTCTTTCTTTCTTTCTTATTTGAAAGTCAGAGTTATACACAGAAAGAAGGAGAGGCAGAGAGAGCCATCTTCCATCCGCTCATTCACTGGCGCCCAGACAGGATGCTGGCATTGCAGGCAGTGGTTTTACCCGCTATGCCACAGTGCCGGGCCCCTAAAAATAACTGATTAGACATTTAGAAATTTAGGATACATAGTATAATTTCCAGAGTGGCAAACAGCAGCTACAAGTTTTACTTCTCTTATGTAACAGGAAATAAAGCACCTCACATGAGGCAGGATTTCTGTGTGATAACAGTTGCAGTCACCACTGAATAAAGCCATGATTAAATTTTTTGCTTGGGCCTAGCGGAAGCTTTTAATTACTGAACTGTCAACAAGATCTTACTAGGCTCACACAATTTTGGACAACACTTAAAAATCAAGAGATTTCATATTCCATTCCAAGCCTATGTTTCTGATTGGCAGCCTTGGATGAAAACTGAGTAGGAAAAAAAGCCTTTAGAAAGGAATATGGAATCAAGTATAATTTACGTGTTTTTAGAGGGATCAAAATAATTTTTAGGCTTTCATAAATCAAGGATCCATGGTGAGATTCCAGGTGGGTACCTACTCAAAGACTGAAAAAGCATGTAGGAGAGTACAGAGTTTATGATTTCCAAAACCAATAGAATTAAAAAAAAATAGATGAGAAAACGGATACTTCAAAAGATAGCAAGAAAGAACATAAATATAGTGGACTAAGTGCTATAATTAAAACATAAAAATTGTTTGGACTTTTAAAATGTACGTATGTATAATATAAAGGCTGAAAGTATAAGAATCAAAATTATGTATCATGCAAACAGGCAGTCTCAAACAAAGCTTTCAGCATTTACTAGATATAAAGAGGTCACTATATAATGCAGCTCAGTTCACTAGGAAAATAAACTAAACTTGTATATACAAAATATAATCTCAACTAAAACAAAAATACTGCTGTAAACTGATACATGTGCTACCACCACCAACACAGTAAAGGGTTTTCAAACATATTATCCAGTAACTGATAGATCAAGCAAAGAAAAAACTCAGCAAAAGCTTTTAAAAAACTGAACAATACAGTTAATTTTCTCTATGGTGTACCTTCTGTCCACTTTTAGCATTTCTTGTAGTGCAGCTCTGTGAGGATAAATTCTGAATAAGTCTTGCGTTTGTTTTTGAAAGACGCTTTTGCTAGGAAACAATTCTAAGTTAAATATTTTCTCTTAGTACTTTTTTTTTTTTCTTTTTTTGACAGGCAGAGTGGACAGTGAGAGAGAGAGACAGAGAGAGAAAGGTCTTCCTTTGCCGTTGGTTCACCCTCCAATGGCCGACACAGCCGGCGCGCTGCGGCCGGCGCACCGCGCTGATCCGATGGCAGGAGCCAAGAGCCAGGTGCTTTTCCTGGTCTCCCATGGGGTGCAGGGCCCAAGCACCTGGGCCATCCTCCACTGCACTCCCTGGCCACAGCAGAGGGCTGGTCTGGAAGAGGGGCAACCGGGACAGAATCCGGCGCCCCGAGCGGGACTAGAACCCGGTGTGCCGGCGCCGCTAGGCGGAGGATTAGCCTAGTGAGCCGTGGCGCCGGCCTTCCCTTAGTACTTTTAAAGGTCTCTGATATCATCCTTTGTTGCTCAATATGTAACATGTCTTTCTTATCTGGTTACATTTAAGATTTTATTACTGGTTTTGAGTATTATCTTACCTTTGTATAGTTTTCTTCATATGTCTAGTGTTTGAGGTTCTCTAGTTTCCTGGATCTGCAACTCAGCAATGAGTCAAGAGCCACCCACAACTTTTAAAGATACGTCCTCCCAACTGTTCCCACACTTAAACAGGGTTCTCTGAGACTATCAGGCATTGGTGAAAAGCTGACTCTTTAGCTTTTGTGTCTAAGCCATTTTTGCCTTGCTATGAAGATTTATTGGGTTTTGGTATTTCCAAATCACCAACAAGGATGTAAGGGTGAAGAATCAAAATTTCTGGCAATTCTTAGAAATCTTCAAACTACACAAAATTTGAAATTTTTCATAGCAGTGTACTTACCATATTTTAAATATATAAAATAATTTTAAATATATTTAATATAGTTTAAATAATTTTGAGTGAACAAAATAAACACTAAATCATTTTTCTGTGATTGCTATATTAAATATTTCAGAAAATGTATTAAAAACAAATTATAAGTATGTGGTTTATTATTATGAATCATATTGTGACAAGATGATATACTGCAATACCATAATTTCTACCTGTTATAAATATTTGATAACAGAAATGACAGAAACAGTAACATAAATGTCAAATAAAATTATTTTGAAAATTGGAAGTACCACAAATATTTGTTTACAAGTTTTTTAAATTAATTCATTTATTTGAAAGGTAGTTAGAGAGAGGGAGAGGCAGAGGCAGGCAGAGAAAGAGAGAGAGACGGAGAGAGAATCTTTCATCCCCTGGTTTATTCCCTAAATGGCCGTAATGGGCAGGGCTAGGCTAGGCCAAAGCCAAGAGCTTCATCCAGGTCTCCCACGTGGGTGCAGGAACCCAAGTACTTGGGTCACCTTCTGATGCCTTCCCAGGAGCATTAGCAGTGAGCCAGATATGAAGTGGAGCAACTGGGAGTTGAACCAGCACACCCAGAGGATATCGGCATTACAGGATTTTATCCTCTACACTACAGCACAGGTCCCTAAGTTATTCTTAAAATTAAAACTTAAAGTACACAAAGCATTAATTAATTAATCTATCAACTAAAACTTAAAGTATACAAAGCTCTACCCAATAATCTTTACTTGGTAACAGATGTTTCAAATATAGTTTTTTTTTTTTTCATTTTGCATTGGTATTAATAGAGTTGCTAAGAGTATGTCCAAAAATATCCTCAAATGAGGTTATATATTGCTTCATAGAAACTCTATTTCCTTCTAAATGATGAAAACATTTATCTGTTTGCTCTGATGTTGGTCTTATGGTTGAAACTGATACTGTTTTTGTAATTTTAGTTTAGATTCGTTTGGAATGTTCCAGAATATTCCCATTTTTTTCTTTGCATTTTTAAATATTTGCAAAGAACAATTAGTCTTTGGCAAATAACCAACACTCTGAAGTGCTAACAAATTTATTTAGTAATAGTTGCATTATGTAATGTTTGGCTCTCTTAGCAAGGTTAACAGTACTATATAAAAATAACAAGTCAAAATTTCCAATTTAAAGAGTTATTTTGCTTCCACATGTTATTTCTTCAAACACCACTGATCAAATTTGTATTAAGTATACTACACATATAAAATTATTATCACTGTTAGCAAAGAGGGGTGTGGACACAGCAATATAGCAATAGCTTCAAGCAAGGCTGATTAGATTGTGAACATTTCTCTTTTATTTGCTCTTTGTTCACTGTATGGAAACACTGACCTTACCCTTGAACTCCACCATGTCAGCATTCCCTGTTCTTGCTATTGGGCTTGATTTCAGTGGATTTCTTCAAACAGTAAATGGCTCTAAGTTAATTAATATGTTTTAATCACACAGCAAAATTATAATACTTTCCATTCTTCCATCAATTTCTTAACTGATATGTCTTCTGATTTGCAAAATTATGAATTTCCCAAGAAATGTTGGAAGGAATTCTCATGAAGAAACACTATAGGCAGATGTTTCAACAATCACAGTGGTGGCCATATATGATTCAATCAAGCTTTGGTGCTCAAAGTCCTTTTCCTTTTACTGGTTGAAATTGGGAAGTTTTCTGCTTCCTTCAATCCTGCAAATATGTATATGAATTTCTACGTTTCTATTCTATTTTGTTCCCATTTGCAATCATACCACTTCTCATCTGAGTTCTTTTCTTTCTTAAAATATCTTCCCAAATACAGCTAGTATAGTAATCAAAACATGCTATTAACATTGTGCTACCTGGTCTCCCAATAGAGAAACAAGTTCATTAAGTATATTGTCTTCCGAGTTATTTGAGAGAACAGTTTATCAAATCTTTCACTGCAGCAGAATGTAGATCACTCACGTAGCCTCACCATCTGTCACCTAAAGCCATTGTTTAAGTCTGATTGTTAAATGACAGTACTCTATTTTCAGGATTAATGCCTGTATAGGTCAAAATAGGTTATGATGCAGAAACAAAATTTCCCTAACTGCATTAGTTTATAACAAAAATGGCTTATTTCCCTCTCACACAACATATGAATAAGCATGGATGCTCTCCCATGGGGCAATCACCATCTCAAGTGTGACTGGTACCATGCCAAAGGAAAAAAAGTTTCACAGAGTCTCAGATCAGCAACCAAATACCCAGACCAGAAGTCACCTTCACTCACAACCCACTGGTTGGGAACTAATCACACAACCACATACTAGAAATATCTGGTGAAAAGCACAATACCTTTTTTAAAAAAATGAAGAAAAACTTTTTTTTAAGAATTGAAGATAAAAATTTCTAGATAAATAAGTCTTCAATTCTTATGAGTTTATGTGGGGACAAAAAGCTTTCCATAATTATTGTGGTAGAACTTTAACCACTTTTTATCTTACAAGCATTATGTATTAACATTTTTTATAAAAATATCCTGTCAAATTGGTAACATTAGTATGAATTTTTTTTTAAAAATTTGAAAACAGACTGTTCTTTAACCTAATAAATTTCACATTTAGAATTCTCCCATCAAAGTACTAACCAGGCCCCACCCTGCTTAGCTTCCAAGATCAATGAGATTGGGTGTGTCTAGGATAGTGCGGCCACAGACTACACTTAGAATTCTAAAAGTCTCATTGTAGTTTTTATAAGAGTGAAGATCAAAAAGCTATAAAGTGCAATGTGCCTATATAAAAATATATAGTATGAAATGGCATACTTTCTTTTAAAGGTCCCCATTACAAAGGTGGGCATTTGGTTTAGCAGTTAAGATACCAGATAGGAGGCCTGCATTCCATATCTAGCAATCTGGCTTCACTGCCTGGCTCCACTTCTGGTTCATTTCCTGCTGGTACCCACTCTGGGGGACAGCCATGATGGCTGAAGTAGTTGGGTTTCTTCCCCACTGTGGGAGGTCTGGATTGGCTTCTAAGCTCCTGGATTTGAACAAAGGCTACTGGGAGAATTGGAGGAGTGAACCTGAGGATGAGAATGCTGTCTCTCTGCCTCTCAAGTAAGTAAACAATTATTAAAAAAAAAAAATGCGACTAAAGGGCCTGTGCTGTGGCACAGAAGGCTAAGCCTCTACCTGCACTGCCAGCATCCCATATAGGTGCCAGTTCCAGTCCTGGCTGCTCCAATTCTGATCCAGCTCCCTGTTAATGCACCTGAGAAAGCATTGGAAAATGGCCCAAGTACTTGAGCCCCTGCACCCATGTGGGAGACCTGGATGAAGCTCCTGGATCCTGGCTTTAGCCTGGCCCAGCACTGACCCTGACCACTGCAGCTCATTGATTGACTTAGCAGTTACATACTAGTTAAAAGTGGGATTTATCCCTGGTATGCATTGATGGGTCAACACTCTCAAATCAATCAATGATATACATCACCTTAACAAACTGAAGAAAAAAAAAACATGTGATTGTCTCAATATATGCAGAGAAAGCATTTTAAAATACAACATTATTCATGATGAAAACTCTAAGCAAATTGGGTATAGAAGGAACATTCCTCAAAACAATCAAAGCAATTTATAACAATCCCATGGCCTGCATCTTATTGAATGGGGGAAAAGTCAGAAGCATTCCCACTAAGATCTAGAAGCAGACCTGGCTGCCCATTCTCATTATTGCTATTCAATATAGTCCTGGAAGTCTTAGCCAGAGCCATTAGGCAAGAAAAAGAAATCAAAGGGATACAAATTGGGAAGGAGGATGTCAAACTATCCCTATTTGCAGATGACATGATTCTACATATAGGGGATCCAAAAGACTACACTAACAGACCATTGAGACTCATAGAAGAGTTTGGTAAAGTGGCAGGATATCGAATCAACACACAAAAATCAATAGCCTCTGTATACACAGACAATGCCATGGCTGAAAAAAAACTTTTTTTTTTTTTTTTTAAACAGGCAGAGTGGACAGTGAGAGAGAGAGAGAGAGAGAGAGAAGAGAAAGGTCTTCCTTTGCCGTTGGTTCACCCTCCAATGGCCGACACAGCCGGCGCGCTGTGGCCGGCGCACCGTGCTGATCCAATGGCAGGAGCCAGGTACTTATCCTGGTCTCCCATGGGGTACAGGGCCCAAGCACTTGGGCCATCCTCCACTGCACTCCCTGGCCACAGCAGAGAGCTGGCCTGGAAGAGGGGCAACCGGGAGAGAATCCGGCGCCCCGACCGGGACTAGAACCCGGTGTGCCTGTGCCACAAGGCGGAGGATTAGCCTACTGAGCTGAGGCGCCGGCAAAAAAGAACTTCTAAGACCAATCCCATTCACAATAGTTACAGAAATAAAAATAACTTGGAATAAACTTAACCAAGGATGTCAGAGATCTCTATGATGAGAATTAGTAAGCATTAAAGAAAGAAATAGAAGGCACAAAAAAATTTTAAAAAAATTCCATGGTTATGGACTGGAAGAATCAATATCATCAAAATGTCCATACTACCAAAAGCAATTTACAGATTCAATGTGATACAAATCAAAATACCAAGGATATTCTTCCCAGATATAGAAAAAACAGTGCTGAAATTCATATGGAAAACACAGGATACCCTGAATAGCTAAAGCAATTTTATACAACAAAAACAAAGCCAGGGGGCCGGTGCCATGGCTCACTTGGTTAATCCTCCACCTGCGGCGCTGGCATCCCATATGGGTGCCAGTTCTAGTCCTGGTTGCTCCTCTTCTAGTCCAGCTCTCTGCTGTGCCCCAGGAGGGCAGTGGAGGATGGCCCAAGTGCTTAGGCCCCTGCACCCGCATGGGAGACCAGGAAGCAGCACCTGGCTCCTGGCTTCAGATTGGCATAGCTCCAGCCATGGTGGCCATTTGCGGGGTGAACCAGTGGAAGGAAGACCTTTCTGTCTCTCTCTCTCTCTGTGTCTAACTCTGTCATATTAAAACAAAACAAAACAAAACAAACAAACAAAAAACAAAGCCAGAGGTATCACAATACCAGATTTCAAGACATACTACAGGACAGTTATAATCAAAACAGCCTGGTACTGGTACAAAAACAGATAGAGCAATGGAACAGAACAGAAATACCAGAAACCAACCCATGCATCTACAGCCAACTTATCTTTGACAAAGGAGCTAAAATCAATCCCTGGAGCAAGGACAGTCTCTTCAGTAAATGGTGCTGGGAAAACTAGATCTCCTCATGCCGAAGTTTGAAACTAGACCCACACCTTACACCTTACACAAAAATCCACTCAAAATGGAACAAAGACCTAAATCTATGACCCAATACCATCAAATTATTAGAGAACATTGGGGGAAATCCTGAAAGACATTGGCATAGGCAAGGAGTTCTTGGAAAACATCCCCAAGACTCAATCAAAGCCCAAACTGACACATGTGATTACACTAAATTGAGAAACTTCTGCAATGTAAAAGAAACACTCAGCACAGTGAAGAGGCAACTGACAGAATGGGAGAAATTATTTATAAACTATGCAACTGATAAAGGATTAACAACAAGAATATATAAAGAGATCAAGAAACTCAACAACAACAAAACTAACAACCCAGTGGAGAAATGGGCAAAGAACTTAGGCATTTTTCAAAAGAGGAAATCCAAATGCCCAACAGACACATGAAAAAATGCTCAGGATCACCAGCCATCAGGGAAATGCAAATCAAAAAAAAAAATTTTTTTTTTTGACAGGCAGAGTGGACAGCGAGAGAGAGAGACAGAGAGAAAGGTCTTCCTTTGCCATTGGTTCACCCTCCAATGGCTGCCACGGCCAGCGCACTGTGGCCGGCGCACCACACTGATCCAATGGCAGGAGCCAGGTGCTTCTCCTGGTCTCCCATGGGGTGCAGGGCCCAAGCACTTGGGCCATCCTCCACTGCACTCCCTGGCCACAGCAGAGAGCTGGCCTGGAAGAGGGGCAACCGGGAGAGAATCCGGCGCCCCAACCGGGACTAGAACCCGGTGTGCTGGTGCCGCAAGGCGGAGGATTAGCCTAGTGAGCTGTGGCGCCGGCTGCAAATCAAAATTTCAAAATGAAGTTTCACCTCACTCCTGTTGGAATGGCTTTCATACAGAAATCAACAAAGAACACATGCTGGCGAGGATGTGGGGAGAAAGGTTCCCTAATCCACTGTATGGAAATGTAAACTGGTCCAGCCACTGTGGAAGACAGAATGGAGATACCTCAGAAATCTGAATATAGACCTACTATATGACCCAACCATTCTACTCTTGGGAATTTACCCAAGGGAAATGAAATCAGCATGTGAAAGAGTTATCTGTACTCTCATGTTTATTGCAGCTCAATTCACAATAGCTGAGTTACTGAATTAACCCAAATGCCCATCAACTGAAGACTGGATAAAGAAATTTTGGTATATAAATATACCATGGAATACTACACAGCAGTAAAAAGAAATGAAATCCTATCATCTACAACAAAATGTATGAATCTGAAAAATATATTAGTGGAATAAACCAGTCCCAAAAGTACAAATACCATATATTCTCCCGGATCTGTGATAATAACAGAGCACCTAAAAGGTAACCTATAGAAGTAAAATTGACACTTTGAGATGCAATGACTTTGAGAAGCCCTTGTCTCAACTGTTGAAGAAGGTTTTTTTCATACTATTTGTTGAACTCTTTACTTAGTTTAATCTTATGTGCGTAAAGCTAACTGAAAATAGATCTTAGTGAAAAAAGAATGAGAATAGGAGAGGCAGAAAGAAAAGGGTGGGAGTGTGTGTATGGTGGGAAGAATCACTATGTTCCTAAAATTGCACTTATGAAATGCATGAAGACTGTATACCTTAAATAAAAGGTTTTCCGGGGGAGGTGGGGGGAGACACTGGTTAAGATGCCTGTGCCCCATAGCAGAGTGCATGAGTGTGATACCCAGCTCCAGTTCCTGACTCAGTCTTCTTGCCAATGCAGATCTTGAGAGGTACTGATGATAGTTTAAGTAAATGGGATCCTGTGATCCATGTGAGAGACGTGGATTAAGTTCTTGGCTCACAGCTTCACTCTGGTCTAGTCCTGGTCACTGTGGGCATTTGAGGAGTAAAGCAACTGATGAGTGCTCTCCATCTCCCAAACAACAAAAGTTTCCATTAATAAATAAAGGTTCAGACTGCAAGTATTATAAATATTTTACTCTTATGGCCTATTGCATATACAACTGTGCTGTTGTAGGGAAAATAAAACAATTTGTAAACAAATGGTATGGCTATCTAATAAATTTTATTTATAAAACAGATGGTCACTAGTAGGTCACAGCTTGCTAGCCTCTAACATAGAGCAATTAAAATGCTTTAAACGTAGTGGGTAAAGGCTCAAAAATTTTAAAAGTTTAAAACTAGAGTTCATAGTTAACAAATTTCACAGAAAGGACATATTTACTCCACTGTTCAGAAAGGAAAGTCTTTTTAAAAAAGGAGCTGAGGGGGCTGGCGCTGTGGCACAGCTGGTTAATGCCCTGGCCTGAAGCGCCGGCATCCCATATGGGCGCTGGTTCGAGACCCGGCTGCTCCACTCCTGATCCAACTCTCTGCTGTGGCCTGGGAAAGCAGTGGAAGATGGCCTGGGTCCTTGGGCCCCTGCACTCAGAAGAAGAAGCTCCTGGCTCCTGGCTTGGATCGGCACAGCTCCTGCCGTTGCGGCTATTTGGGGTGTGAACCATCTGATGGAAGACCTCTCTCTCTGCCTCTCCTCTCTCTGGGTAACTCTGACTTTCAAATAAATAAATAAATAAATCTTAAAAAAAAAAAAAAGGAGCTGAGGTGATTGAGGAATACAGTCAATTTTTCTGTTCGATTTTTGGAAGAGTCAAATGAGACTAGACATACGTGCAGCATTCTCTGGAAACCACAACGTAAGGTAAGTTCTGGGGATCACTTAGGTCATTAGTATCTGCAGCTACAGCTTCATTTACAGCTTAGTCCAATAATCTTCACTACGATAACACAGTGTCAGCAATGAAAAATAATTATACTTGGTATATTCTTTTAAATAATGAGACAATAAGTTTTTTAAAAGCTTAAATATGGGTAAATTGTTTGATTTTTAGCCTAATAAACAAGTGTTAATGTTATAATAATGTAAAAATGAAATATAAAAAAGGGAGAGAATGATCCAACATGGGAAGTGAGACCCATAGAATGGCAGATGTCCTAAACAGCACTCTGGCCTCAGAATCAGCCCTTAAGGCATGCGGATCCGGCTCAAAAGCCCATGAAAGTATTTCAGGCATGGAAAGCCAAGACACTCTGGGGAAAAAAAAAAACCTAAATGAAAGATCTCTGCGAGTGAGATCCCAGTGGAAAGAATGGGCCATCAAAGAAGGAGGTACCTTTCTCTGAAGGGAGGAAATAACTTCCACTTTGACCATGGCCTTGTCTAAATATGATCAGAGTCAGTGAACTCAGGAGGCTTCCATGACAAGAGCCTAGGGTGATTACTGATGCCATAAACAAGAGTGTCAATTTGTTAAGTCAACAACAGGAGTCACTGTGCACTTACTCCTCATGTAGGATCTTTGTCCTTAGTGTGCTGTACATTGAGATTTAATGCTATAACTAGTACTCAAACAGTATTTTTCACTTTATGTTTCTGTGTGGGAGCAAACTGTTGAAATCTTTACTTAATGTATGCTAAACTGATCTTCTGTATATAAAGAGAAACGAAAATGAATCTTGATGTGAATGGAAGGGGAGAGGGAGTGGGAGAGGGGAGGGTTGTGGGTGGGAGGGACGTTATGGGGGGGAAGCCATTGTAATCCATAAGCTGTACTTTGGAAATTTATATTCATTAAATAAAAGTTAAAATAAATAAATAAATAAATAAATCTTCAAAAACAAAACAAAAAAAAAGAAATATTTGCAATCTTCTTTTAGTGCCTATATATATGTGTGTGTGTGTTTATATATATATATATATATATATGTCCTATTTCATAAAGTCAGTACAAATAAGTGTTCTTGGAGTGGCAGTTTTGAAGGAACAAAAATGATCATTTCAACCATGAAAACCAAGCAGTGACTTAATAGAAGCCTACAAAATTGTAATAATGTTAAAAATTCAGTAATTATTACATAAAATATATTTTCAAATTACATGCTATCGTTCCTATTAGTAAAATGATTTACTAACACTTTTTCTTCAGAGGAAAGTCATTAATTCTTATTAAGAAAAGAGACAGGCATTTGGCACAGCAGTCAGGATGCTGCTTGGGACACCTGCATCTCATTAGCAGAGGTTTCTGCTCATGCATATACTGAAAGGCAGAAGGTGATGGTTCAAGTACGTGGGTCCTTGCTACCCATGTGGGAGACCCAGTAAGAGCTGGTGCTTCTGGCAATGGCTTAGTCCAGCCCCAGCAGTTGCAGCCTTTTGAAAGTGAGCCAGCAAATGGAAGATCTCTATGTCTGTCTGTCTCTGTCTCTGCTTTTCAAAAAAAATGAAACTTCTTTTTTTTTTTTTTTTTAAAAAAAGGCATCATTAGTGGGCTGGTATTGTAGAGTAACAGGATATGCCACCACCTGTGACACCAGCGTCCCATATGGACAATGGTTCGAGTCCTGGCTGCTCCACTTCCAATCCAGTTCCCTGCTAATGCACCTAGAAAAGCAGCACAAGATAGCCCAAGTGTTTAGGCCCCTACACCCATGATGGGAGACACATGGTCCAGCCTTAACTATTGCAGCCATCTGGGGAGTGAACCAGCGGATGGAAGACTCCTATCTCTCCCTCTCTCTTAACCCTGGCTTTCAAATAAATGAAATAAGTCTTTTTAAAAAAGATATCATTAGGCTCACTTTCTTTCAATTAAGATGCCCTTGATTCCATAAGGTCACTATAGTGATAATAAAATTATAATTAGTAATATCAATGAGAAAGTAATTTGCAAAAGTTAGTTATTTTAAAAGGGGATATTCAATATAAATGCTAGGAAGCATATGTGTGATGGAAAAACAATATAGCATTAGAATCAGATCAATTTGTGTTTAAATCTTGTAACATTAAAAATTGCTTATTTATTTTCCTCACCTTTTTACTTAGAGCCCAAACAAAACAACTTATATTTTGTTAGCTTCTTTTTGCAAATCTTTAGTTTTTTTTTTTAAATTCAGGAGTGGAAAAATTATAATTTCTTTCCTAAAACACTAATGAGATACATAGGGTTAAAAATAACAAGTGAAAATCATATTCAGATTTTCAATATAAACTAAAAATACATCTCATTAAACAAGTATGCTTCAAAACATCATCAAACTGTACTATCAAAATCCTATTGATAGGTAACAGAGAACTATTAACATATTAAGGGATTTTGGTTGTTCTTTTTAAAAATTTTTCACTTATTTATTTGAAAGGCATAGAGAAAGGCACACACAGAGATCTCCCATTAGCTGATTCACTCCCTAAATGCCCGCAACAACTCGAGCTAAGCCAGGCCAGGCGGAAGCTGGGAGTGAGGAACTCAGTCTGGGTGGTAGGGGATCCACCTACTTGAGCCATCACTACTGTTTCCCAGGGTATGGAAGCTCAAACTGAGAAGGGAGGCAAGAACTGAACTCAGGGATTCCCAAGCTACATCTTAACTACTGCAAAAAACATCACCTTGGGCTCATGGTTGTTCTTAGGTAATCACTAGAGTGTATTACCAGCATTCCCATTCCTATCAAAGGAATCTAGGGTCTCTTACGTAATATGATGATCAAAACCCCAGATAAGACACTCGTGTCCCAGGTTTGAGTCCCAGTTTCTTGCTGATGCAAACTCTGGGAGTCAGCCGCGATGCCTGAATTAATTGGGTTCCTGCCAATCATGTTGGAGGCCAGGACTTGGCTCCTGGCTTTGTGCCCCACCTTCACCCCTGCTACTGCAGGTATTTGGAGACAGACCAGCAGATGACAGCTCTCTTTTTTTCAAATAATTAAAACAAACAAACAAACAAACAAAAAACCGGAATCAAAGCACTCTAAAGAAGGGTTAGGCAAACAATAGTCTTTGGGCCAAATCCAGCCAACATCATGTTTTAGTAAATAAAATTTTACTGGAACACAGACTAATTATTTACATATTATCTTCAAATGCTTTCATGGAAACAAGGCGAACGGAGTAACTGCAACCACATGGCCCGCAATTATTTACTACCTGGCTCTGTAGAGAAAAGGTTTGCTGTCTTCTGCTCCAAAGTACTGCTACTCAAAGTTCTGCTTTGCATATCTGAACTGTCTGTTCCTGACTGGGGCCAAGATAAGGAGAAAGTATGAGAATGTAAACCAACTATGTTAACAAGTAAGCAGGGTCTTCAAAAGCTTCATGGAAAATGTGTATTATGAAAACACATATTTCAAAAATATCTGCATCAAAATAAACCTAGTTTTTCATTGCATTTTTCCAGGAACTTTTTGGAGTACCCTCCTATAATACTATTTTAACTACTTTTTTTTCCCATTGCCAGACTTTCTCAATGAAAGACATATAGTCTGGGTTAAGTTCCTTTTCTTGTAGTGGATAGGGACAGTTCACTAATCAGCAACTTTCACGCCACTACTCTAAAGGCATATGGGGAAAATAAATAAATAAATAAATAAATAAATAAATAAATAAATGTATATGGGGACAGGGTATAGGAACTATCAAACCTCAAAAGGGATTATGGCGTCACTAATGTTCTGGAGTTCTGCAGCAAAAGGTGATGGGCTTAGCAGCAAAATGAATGGGACTCAGAAAGTGGTCCTTCCATTGGCTTTTTTTTTTCTACTCTGCTCTTTTAAGGTTTTTATTATTCCAAAAATTTTCACTGCTACAGATTTATGCTTCAAAAAGGTGAAGAACAACAACTCTCCCTGTCTTTTCTTGAGAGCAGGAAAAATGAAAATATTTGCCTTCCTGAAAATAATTCAACAATATATATTGCTTATTTGCCACTCTAAATTGTTGAGTAGTTGGAAAATCGAATTAAACTGTATGTCTCTTGAAGTGCAAGTAAAAGCAAACCTATCCTCTTTATTAGCAATATTACTATAGCTTTAATCCTATTTTTAACTAAATCATATACATATAGATATATCAGTTAAAAAATACAGAATGAACTCCTACCATTATCTTTAACATGAAATTTCTTTGAACAGTATATAATTTCTAAAGGCACCAAAGGTAATCTGAATCAAGCAGTGATCTGAAAAATAAAATTATTCAGGGACAAATTTTTATTGCAAATATTTACTCAAAAACTACTATATACAGCAGAATTTTAATAGCCATTTAAAACATGTAACATTCAGTGAAAACAGAATCTAGGAATTCAAAGCACATTTTAAGAAGTTAAAATGTAGCATTTTAAATAAAAGTTTATTAGTACTTCAGAGCAAACTACTGTTCTTCATATTATTTCTATATCTATTATTTTCTAGATGATAAAAAAAATCGAAAAATCAATGTAACAGCCGTCTTATGAACAAATAGGCTCAATTCCCAAAACCAATTTTTACATCACTGCGTTAGGTCCCATTTGAAGTTATTATTTTACAATTAAAGAAAAGTCAATTAAAAACATGGCTGAATACATGCCCAGACATGTTTTCAGTTTACTGCTTTACAATATCTACATTATACCAGACTTTGGTTTGGCTTCCAGACCTTTTTTATGGGCCTATTTCTAAAAATCATTAAAACAATATTAAAAGCATAATAGCTACAGGAGTTTCAACAATGAGTTTCTACTTTATACAACTAGTACATCAAGAGATTTCTGCACAGCTTACACACTGACAAAAAGCACAAATATAAATTTATATTTTAATAATTTCACTTTCACTGAAAGTTTAATTAAAGGTAAGCTTACAGCCTGGCAGGCTAACACTTGTATGGAGGTACACAGATTCAAATATTCTTTTTACATGCTTCTGACAGACTGGAATGTTATATTAAATTAAAAATTAAATTTATTTTCATTCAAATTCTCATCTGGTCAATTTAGCACTCAAAGCATGCTCTGTTTACCAGCATCATGTTCAAAACAAAGCCTTCATTAACAATGCCAATCAGCCATTATTTTTATATCTATTATTTCCCCAATGATGCATGGTCTCCAAGTCTCTTCCTTTAACTGAAAAGGATATATAGGTAGTAATAATTTTTAGCTTAGGTCTAAGGAAAATTTGAAGCTTTCCACTGCAAACCTAACCTTCATTAACATACTTTTCATGTCTTTAGAAACTTGGAAGGCCATACTAATCAAGGAATTATTGGTGGGCTGACTTATTTAATAACTTAGGTTGAACAGACAGGTAAAGTGTATAAATGACCTCCTTCACATTTTTCTATTTCTGATCTCTACAACAGCACCACTGAGCTCACCTGATAGCACTGTTGCAAATGCTCTTGCCGCTGGTACACTAAAACTTAGAAAGACTAATTTCAACTTCTTTCTTTGTCATCTGCCAGGTCTACTGTCGTCTCTGTCATGCCAGGACTATTTCCTCCAGGAATGTCATCTGTTTCAGACACTATTTCATCAGTGTTGGCTGAAGGATCACCATTACCTTTCTGAAGAATCTCTGTGGCTTCAAACTCAAGTACCTCTGAAGGAGTCAAAGGTTCCAAATGAACACTGCCTTGCTCACTAACATCAGAACTAACAGATTTAGGTTCATCTCGCTTTCTCAAAAACTGATCTATGCTAACATCACCTGATGTCAACCGCAAATCTTTAATATTCTTTGAAGAACACTTAGCTTTACTGGAGCTAAGATCTTCCATCTGGTCACATGAAACAGTGTTTTCTGGATCTTTGCACTTCTTTAATTCTGTTTCCTGACAAACATGTTGTGCTTGTTTTTCCTTTCCCACTTCATCTGTACTGATATTTGATTCATAACTGAAGACCGTCTCTGAGCCAAGTTCCTGGCCTGTAAGGCGGCTATCATTCTCCTTATCTGAAATCGCTGGGCTTTCTGCATTTTTTGTTGCTGATAGACCTTCAAATAAATCTGCATTGCATTCATTTTTGTCTTCCGAAGAAGCTTTCTCATGTTTTCTGAAGAAAGAAACCATTTATTAGCTATTTATTAAAAAGCAAATATCTGAGCACCATAAAAATAGACATTCTTTAAAAACTGAAAAAAAGTCAAGGCATATTTGCCCACTAAAAAGGAAAATGAACCAAAGGTCCCACCCCATGCCATGCCATTACAATTTAGGAGGAGCTCACGTTCTTAGGTAAAGCTGTATGAAACTGTGGAATCACATCTAGCAACTGGTTCTAGACCTGCGTATCAGTATTTTCATCTATTCATATCTTTGTCTGCTTTTAGTTACAACTTAAGCATTCTTATTAATCTATAGGAGTACCTAAAACTAGGAATATGTTTGGAAAACATCTATTTTTCTTTTACAATTTATTTATCATATTATGCTTAGAATATCTTTTCTTTTAAAAAATTAGATAAGCACTCACAAATATTTCCCTAATTTTTAAAAGCCTAATTTTTAAAAGGTAAACATATACCTGAAAATATGAAGATACACAGAATACATATGTTTACATGTGTTTACATATATATAAAGATACACATATACTATGTATATATATATATATACCTCTATATATTTCTATATGTTTACTCTGACCAGTTTTAACAGAAACTATTTAGTGAATCATAACAATCTAACAATCATGTTAGAAACAGATTTCTAAGAAATTTTAGCCCTTTATATAATCTATAGATACTTATTTATCAAAATAAATTTCATGATTATTATATATACCTATTTCTTACATTTAATCTACCCAGAATGTAGACTTTTCCCCAATGAACTGCACAAATATCCTGGTCACATTCTGAAATGGTCATTATTATTGAATTATTTTATGTATAATGCTGTTTTTCTGCTATTTATTTTGTTTTCTTGATCTGTCCTTAGACTATTTGTAGACCAGGAATACCAAGAACACTGCATAGTCTTAACAACAATAAATTAACATTATACTTTACTATCTAGTAGAACAAATTACCTTCATTCTATGATTCTTCTACATAAATTTAATAATTTAAAAATGTATGGGGCTGGCGCTGTGGCTCAGCAGGTTAAAGCCACAGCCTGCAGCCCCGGCATACCATATTGGCTTTGATTCGAGGAGTCTACTCTAATTCTAATCTAGCTCCCTGCTAATGTGCCTGGGAAAGCAGCAGAGGGGTGGACCAAGTGCTTGGATCCCTGCCCCCACATGCCAGAATCAGAAAAAGTTCTTGGCTCCTGGCTTCGGCCTGGCCCAGTCCTGGCCACTACAGCCATTTAAGGAATGAACCAGCTGGTGGAAGACCTCTCTCTCTCTCTCTCTCGCTCTCGCTCTCTCTCGCTCTCGCTCTCTCTCGCTCTCGCTCTCTCGCTCTCTCCATTCCTTTCTCTGTCTTTGTAACTTTGTAACTCTAAAATAAATCTAAAAAAAAAAAAAATTAGGGGCCCGCGTAGAAGTACAGCAGGTTGAACTATGGCCTGTGATGCCAGCATCTCACATGAGCACTGATTCAAATCCCAGCTGCTCCATTTCCAATCCAGCTCCTGGCTAATGCTCCTGGAAAAGCAGCCAAAGATGGCCCAAGTGCTTGGGCCCCTACACCCATGTGGGAGATTCTGTATGGGGTTCCAGGCTACCAGCTCAAAACTGGCCTGGCCCAGCCTTGGCTGCTGTGGACATTTAGAAAGTGAACTAGCAGAGAGAAGTGCTCTCTTGCTCGCTCTCTCTCTCCCTCTCTGTGTAACTCTTCCTTTCAAATAAATAAATAGTTCTTTAAAAAAAGTTAGTATCCTATAAAATGTTTAAACTCTACATGTTTAAACGGTTCAAAAGCCAAAAATCTGCAGTATATTTCAACTGAATTAAAAATTTTTAAATTTTAATTGAAAGTCATTACTAAAAGCAATGCCAGATATAAAGATTGAAATAGTCCTTTGCCAATTAGCTGGAAATAATGTACCCTGTGTTATTTTATAAAAATTTTTCCTTACCTTTCTGAACGTGATGTTTCTGTCTCTCCTTCAGTCACAGGTTTTGCAACTTCCTGAAATGATTAATTATACTTTTATTTTACATGGCTAAGCCAAGAGAAAACTATTATTATTCTATATTATTAAGTAAAAGAAACTTAAGTATACAAATATACCAAAGAAACAAAAACCTATTTTTTAATTTAAAAGTATGCACTAGAATAATTCTCATAATTAAAAGTAGGATTAAAAATAATTTTTAATGTATAAGAATTCCAGTGTATGAAAAATTTTTTAAATTAAAGCCAACAAGCAATTAACTAGTTATATCAATACCTACTTTCCTAGCCTTTCTTTCAAATGTAGGCTGTAATTACAATTACTTACATAGAAAACTAATAAAACACAACTTGAATAAGAAGATATAGCCACAGTACTTCATATAAACATATCAAGTACTGACACTTAGTTATAACATTTCTAAAATTTTGATTTCATTTTCAGAGCTATGATCACCCTTCCACTGTCAAGGCAACAAGATGAAACAATAAACAAATCTAAGAAATATTTTGCTTATTTAAAATGTTTTATAGAAAGGAAAGAATGTTGTAAAACCTCAGTATGTCAGAGGTTAGACTAACATTTTATAAAAAACTACCAGTTGGGTACATATAAGATATATTAAGAACTTATCTCATATTTATAAATTGACATATAAAATATATAGATTCACCATTTCATCTTCATATTACATATTATCAGTGCCATTTTTACAAATGAGAAGTCAGTTAAACTGAGGAACCCAAGGAAAATCTACAGTAAGCAATAAAGATTCAAATCAAATTCTACCACTTGAGTAGGTTGACTAAATCCTGTGAAATTGGTAATTGTGCACTATTCACATACATTTATCTCCTTACCCTCTCACAACTCTGCTAAAATGAGAGTAAAGAAATAAAAGATTTTCACTCTTAAAGATCAAGAAAACATCAGTATGTAATAACTGTGAATGAGGCTAGAGAAGTGGTAACTGACTTAGCAGTATGAAGGAAATCACAACAGATGGTCCGTAGCAGAGTGCCTAAGAGTACATGGCAAGGAGAAAAGAGTCAATCTGACCAAAAAAGCTAAGACACCTGGTATTACAGGAACTCAGTACAATAGCTAGTACAAATGAAGCGCAGGGCTTACTGGGAAAGCTAAATGCTCCTCCTCCCAGCTCTAGTAACAGGTACCTAGCTCTCTCCTTACCTCAGAGGTTAAAGGCTAACTCTGTGAACTAGAGACAGTGTAGGTTTGTGAACACTAGGAACAGCAAAAAGCGCACATGTACTAAGAGAAAACAGATTCAGTAAGAGTCCATCTACTGAGTAGAAGAGGGACCCACAGTCCCTCTCCCTGCATGGCTCCCAAAATTCCAGAAGCCAGGGAACTTAACTCCTCAATTTACCACTCCAGCTAGAATTTAGAAGACCTCCCTTTGGTGATAATTATCAGGCCCAAAAGAGATTTCCCATAATAATTTTGAGAGTATCCTCCTCAACAAAGAATTAACTAAGCACCTGATTTTCCTGCACTGAAGTGTGAACAATTCCCATGCTGACTATGGATCTACGGATCACCTTCACGTTGTAATTCATGTCAGCACAATAAACTTTTAAAAGGTCAATTTGGCAAGGGCCAGCACTGTGGCATAGCAGGTAACGCTGCTGCCTGCAGGGCCAGAATCCCATGTGGGCGCCAGTTCGAGTCCTGGCTGCTCCACTCCTGACCCAGTTCTCTGATGTGGCCTGGGAAGGCAGTGAAGGATAGCCCAAGTCCTTGGGCCCTGGTACCCACGTGGAAGATCTGGAGGAGGCTCCTGGCTCCGGATCGGCCCAGCTCCAGCCTTTGCAGCCATTTGGGGAGTGGACCAGTGGGTTGGAAGGCCTCTCTCTCTTTCTCTCTACCTCTGGCTCTCTGTAGCTCTGCCTTTCAAATAAATAAACTTAAAAAAAATTCCTGTCAGTAGTTTTCAAAGCGTCATTCACAGACCCCTGAGGAATCCCAACCACATTAAAGAGGCATGTGAGGTCACAAATCTTGGTACAGATGCAGTGGTAAGTAAAAATGCTGTCACCTTAAGACAAACCAAGGCAGTGGCATCAAACCCCAACTGTACTGCTAATCACTATACTCTTCACCACCAAACACAAGTGGTTTAATTTTAAAACTGCTTGAGAAAATTGTTTTCTAACAGTTTATACTTCAGCTAATCTATAATTCAAGTAAATTTACTTTTAGATACACAAGGAATGAAAAGAGAAAGATCTTCTGAGGATGCTAGTGGAGGGCAGGACTCATCCAAATGACGAGCAAATTGAGAAACAACATCCAACACGAGAGAGAGGCAAAGGAACATCCTGACACAATAAACTGTGCACCAGGCTAGAGGAGCAACTAGTTTAAACAGAAGCAGGGAGTTTGAGAGAAGAGTTCCAGACCCTCCCAACAATTTTTTTTGATGTGCAAACTATGAGAAAAAAAAAGGTTCCAAAACTATACAGATAAACTGCAGCATTTTTTTTTAACAAAAAGTATTCTGCACACAGAAAACTAAAAAATAAAAATAAAAAAAAGACAAATATTTTCTAGCTCCACAAAGATAAAATGAGGTCTAGGAACAAAAGGAAAACCACAGCACACTTCCTAGTTCAGCACATGTAACAGTCTCAAGTAGTGTGGCGTACTATGCTGGCGTCAGTGCTATTCCGTGCCATCCTGGAACCTGAAGCAAATGAACAAACACACACCCCGTATTCCACGCTATTTCACAAAATTCATGGAAAACGAAATTAAAAGATAAGCTTATTTTGGTGCAAAAATTTATGAAATCTATGCATGGTTTATTCATACTACACATCTTCCACAACATTTTTGAAGAGCTTTTGTCCAAGTTTTTGTGTGTTTTTAAATGTTTTCTACTAGAATATAAAAATACTGAAAAATACAAAAGCACATGAATTGAAACCTGTAACACTAGCTTAAATTTAAGCATTTTATTTCTACCAAATCCAAAATTTAATACCATTTTACTTTCCTGGCTTTAATGGAAGCAAAAACATTAATAATATATTTTTCACATTCTAATCCCTTTTTAAATCTTATTTTCAAATGAGCAAATTGCTATTTTGACAATTTCTCTTGACCAAATGACAATTTACAACATTTTTAAAACATTTTTTTCAGGATGTCACTGTGTCTGGGGTTAAGAATTCTGAATATCAAGTCTAAATCTGTATAACTTTGCATAAAGAAAACACTTAGTAAGTTTTAGAAGATTCAAACAATGATGATTTTATATTACTAATTACTGATATTATATATTGCTTTAAACTATTTTACATGACATTTCTTAAGAACTCAAACTATCTGAATATTTAAAGCCAAATTTGTGGCTGCTTTTTAAACTCAGATATATGAATATTTACAGAAGATAACCTTTCTTCAGTCTAACAATTCTGAATATGTTGATATTTCATTTAATTTTTCATCTTTCTACTTCAAATGAAATTAGAGTATTTAGAATCTAAATTCTGTCTGGATAAGTATTTTTCTCATGATTATCAATATTTTAATCCAGTTATTCATGCGTTTTCAAATTTTTATTGATCTTTTAATTTATTTTCAAAGTTGATAAGATTATTCGTATCTTGTTAATTTTTTTTTTTTTTTGACAGGCAGAATGGACAGTGAGAGAGAGACAGACAGAGAGAAAGGTCTTCCTTTTCTGTTGGTTCACCCCCCAATGGCTGCTGCAGCTAGCACGCTGTGGCCAGTACACCGTGCTGAACCAAAGCCAGGAGCCAGGTGCTTCTCCTGGTCTCCCATGCGGGTGTAGGGCACAAGGACTTGGGCCATCCTCTACTGCACTCCCGGGCCACAGCACAGAGCTGGACTGGAAGAGGAGCAACCAGGACAGAATCCGGCACCCCGACCGGGACTAGAACCCAGTGTGCCGGCGCCGCAGGCAGAGGATTAGTCAAATGAGCCGCGGCGCTGGCCCTCTTGTTAAAGTTTTATATTCACCAAACATACATGCAAAACTACTTTCTCTCACTTGTTTGTAAGCAAAGGGATGGGCTTTTTGATAAGTATGCAACTTTACATGTAGTCATGTGTTTTGATGTAGAACTTTTTATAGTTAGTTCAAAGTATCAACCCAAAGAAATAATTTGCATAGAAATTTATACCAAAATTCTTTTAAATTCAGCATTCTGTTTGCAATTTGATATTGTATCTTTTAATATCTGGTAAACAGCTTTTTTTATTTACTTGAAAGGAAGAGTTACAAAAGAGAGGAAGAGACAGAGATATTTCATCCACTGGTTCACTCCTCAAATGGCCTCAACGGTAGGAGCTGGTCCGATCTGAAGCAAAGAGCTTCTTCTGGGTCTCCCACATGGGCACAGGGGACCAAGCACTTGGGCCATCTTCCCCTGCTTTCCCAGGTGCATTAGCAGGGAGCTGGACTGGAAGTGGAGCTACCAGGACATGAACTGGCGCCCATACGGGATGCCGGGGCTGCAGATGGCAGCCTAACTGTCTATGCCACAGGGCTGGACTACCCCTCCTCCTTTAAATTTTTTAATTTACTTGAAAGGCAGAATTACAGAAAGGGAGAGACAGATAGCGAGAGAGAGATAACAGCTTACATTTGTGTGTAAAGTTGTCTTGACTGTGTTAGGTCTTGATGACCATCAGGTATATACATATCATTTTAACGTCATTTTTAGAATGGAATACCCTACCCCATTTGCTCACTGACTTCTATTCCCAAAATATAGATTCTCTGTACAATGCTAAAACAGAAATCATATTTAAAATTACAGATGAGTTTTTTCATCTTAAGTTATGATTATGAACTAAAGCAAGGTACAACTTTGGCATACTTATTTTAGGGATGAAATACTGGCTTATACATTATGACATATATCAACTATGTTTGACAATGATCAGATTCCTTGCCAAAAGAGTGTTTACGTAAATAGAATCTCCTTCAAATGTACTAATAATTTCATAACCTAGATGATAT